TATGCTTGCCCAAATGTTTTCCTCCAACTCCAACCTAACAGTGCCAAACGGAAAAACTCCACCGTTCACTGAAAGGGTTTCCCATAGTATGCCAGAGGTACCCTTTTGTCACAGAGAAATACGAAAATCCCTAAAAAAGCTGGATACAAACAAAGCAATCGGTCCGGATGGCATTCCCGCAATAGTACTCAAAGATTGCGCCAACGAACTCACCCCAACTTTCGCAAAATTATTCAATTTGTCTTACAGGCAAGGAGTATATCCATCATCATGGAAGTCTGCCGCAGTACAACCCATTCCAAAGAAAGGAAAAAAGACAGATCCGTTAAACTATAGACCAATTGCTCTACTTCCGGTGATATCAAAAGTAATGGAAAGAGTTGTGAACAATCACCTAACCAAGTACTTGGAAAAGTACAAAATTATCAACGATAAGCAATACGGATTTCGAAAATATAGGTCAACTGGCGATTTACTTACATACGTCACTCACTTATGGCAAAAAGCGATTGAGTTGCGGGGTGAAACAAGAACAATTGCCTTAGATATATCTAAAGCATTCGACAAAGTTTGGCATGAAAATCTGCTCAACAAGCTCAAAGCAATGGGATTATCGCCGAAACTTTGCACTTGGGTTGAAAGTTACCTAAAGGACAGATCCATTTATGTTGCACTGGATGGCCAGAACAAATAAATGCTGGTGTGCCACAGGGAGCAATCCTTTCGCCAACTCTTTTCCTGATTTACATAAATGACCTCATAGATAAAACAGTAAATCCACTTTATTGCTTTGCAGACGATGGCAATGTAGTCTCCTCACTCATACCACCCACAGGTCTTTCCGCACGTGAATTCCATCATCTTAGACTAACTCAAATATCGCAGATAAATAACGACCTGGAGATAATAGAGGACTGGGGTAACAAAAACCTTGTACAGTTCAACGCGCAGAAAACCCAAGCAGCTCTGTTTTCAAAAAAGACCAGCACCGGTGAGCCAAACATCATGCTATCTGGAAGTGCTGTCACATTACAGACTCAGTTGAACATCTTGGGGGTTACTGCAGAGACCAACATGTCTTGGCACAGTCACGTGGCAGATATTGCTAAAAGGGCCTCCCAAAAGCTGGGGGTGCTATTTCGTACAAGACATCTGTACACACCAAGCCAATTGCTGACACTCTACAAAGCCCAGATTCGACCAACTATGGAGTACTGCTCACATATATGGTGTGCAGCACCCAAACATACCTTAATGCTTTTGAATACCGTGCAAAAACGAGCTATCAAGCTGATCAATGACCCCGCACTTACTCGTAACTTGGATGGTCTCGAACATCGCAGATCTGTGGGCGATTTATCTCTCTTCTACAGGTACTATCACGGAAAATGCTCTGAAGAGTTGGCACGTATGATTCCACCGAGAGTAGCACCTACCAGGCGAACCCGTCAAACAGACGGTAACCATGAATTTACTGTCAAACTAGAGGCACCAAGAACCTCATTATATCAGAATTCATATCTCTGGAGAACAGCATCGCTGTGGAATAAACTCCCTGCGACGGTTTTCCCTGCAGGTTACATAACCCGAACCGTTTCAAGACCAACATACACCGACATTTCCGCGCACTTGCCGCTTCTCGAGCGTGATAGGACATTTCCTTGCGAGTGCGCATATCCGTAAAAAAAAAAAAAAAATACTCTATAAAATTAATAAGACAAAAAACGGCTTAGAAAAAGTATTAGTAGTACCAAAATCAATGAGAGAAGAAATTATGTGGGAGCTACATGCATCACCGATAAGTGGACACTTGGGACTGAGTAAAACAACGGACAAAATTAAAAACAGATTTTTTTGGAACGGAATGCTAAAGGACATCGAAAAGTACGTTAAGGGATGCCCAGATTGCCAAGCTAGAAAGGGGCAACCTTACAGAAAAACGCCAGGGATGTCACAACCAATACTGGTGGGAACAATTTTCGACAAAATCGGAATTGATCTTTTAGGCCCATTTAGAAGAAGCAGTAAAGGGAAAACAATGATAGTTGTAGTTACCAATTACGCCTCACGGTATGCCATCACAGCCGCCCTACCGAATGCAATGCAGATATGCCGGACCAGTTGCAAATTTTTTACTGGAAAAAGTATTCTTGATACACGGGATGCCAAGAAATCTGCTCAGCGACAGAGGAAAAGTCTTTCAATCGGAATAAGTAAGGGAATTAGTGAGTAGGATGTTACCCTATTACGATCCATGGACAGAAGCTGCGCCTATTGAAGAAAGGGCAGATAAGACAGATATAGCTGAAAACGCAGAATCTAAAGTTGATGAGGATGAAGACGACGAAACAAAAATTGAAGAGGAAATTGGGAGCAGTCAAGCAGAAAACGGGGAAGTATTGATTGTACAGAGAAAACATAAGCACAACTATGAAGTAGGAAAATAGGAAGTAGAGATAGGATGAAAAAATAGAGTAACACATTAAATAGAGTAAACAAGGAGGGATGGAGAGGAATGACAGCTCAATATAAGAGGAAACTAGTGGATGACCTCATAATTCTAAGGGAACATAGAGAATATGAATTACTATAAAAGAAGAAGAATCAGAAACATTCTTATCGACGGAAAAAGAAGCTGAAGGGATCTTGGAAAAGTACGAGCTGCAAAAAGAAGGCATATGGGTATACAAAAAACAAGTTGGACTAAACTTACCCGTTGGAGCCATGATCAACAAATAACCAAATGATGAAATTTGGTGGCCCGGATGTGGATCATAATTAAACTAATTATAGGAATAAGCTCGGGAATAAGCACATTATTTTTTTTATGTCATACCAATACATTATTGTGTTTTTATACCTTAGATACCATCCATATAATTCATTACTTTATGCCCGTGCGGGCATAAAGTACACATTATGGCCCGCGCAAAAAACATATTATTTTTGTCAAAAAATGATGATGTTTGCACACTGATGACAATTTGCGAAGTGACACTTTTTTCCCAGGTAGTATGCACCACGGGTACTAATAGATATATATACCCTCGGGCGACTTACGAACCCTCGGGCCAGAGTCCCTCGGCTTTGTAAGACTGTCGCCCTCAGGGCATAATCATCTACTTAGTCCCTTGATACATAAATTACTATTAAATATTATTTTATTTTTTGCATGTAAAGGGTGTTTTTTTTAGAGGTATAGAACTTTGAACTGGAATGAAACTCATAAAAATCATATTAACGGCTATGATATTGACTTTATTAGAAAGCTAATTTAATGCCATTAGTGTTTAAAGATGATTTGGGGCATATGAGCGCCGCGGCTGGCTCGAACGAAGGGCAATCTGGAAGTCCAATTTTGGACCACTTTGTCGAGCACCTGGGGACGTAAATCGGCAATAACGCGGCGAATGTTGGCTTCCAGCAGATCCAACGTTGTTGGTTTATTACTGTAGACTAGCGACTTCACATATCCCCACAGAAAATAATCCATAGGTGTGAGATCACACGACCGTGGAGGCCAATTCACAGGTCCCTTGCGCGAAATTATACGGTCATCGAATGTTCCCTGCAATAAGTTAATTGTGTCGCGCGCTGTATGGCATGTTGCGCCGTCTTGTTGGAACCAAAGCTCCTTCACGTTGATGCCATTTAACTGGGGCACAAAAAAGTCAGTTATCATGGATCGATACCGTTCTCCATTGACTGTCGCGTTCTGGCCGGCATCATCTTTAAAGAAATATGGGCCAATGATTCCACCAGCCCATAAAGCACACCAAACAGTAAGTTTTTCTGGATGTAACGGCGTCTCACAATTTGCAAGCGTTGTTCTGGCGTGATTCTATTCATGTTGAAATGGCAAGATATAATGAGCGAAAATGAGCTGTCACCTTTCAAATTTACTGTCACTAGGAACAGTGTTGCCAGATCGAAAAACAAACCTCTAAAAAAAACACCCTTTATATACAAAACCACCAATCAGGGACGGACTACAAAACAAATTCGAGGAAAGGCATTGTAATAGAACGATCTAGCTCCGAACCGAGTAGGGGCTAGGAACTTCAAACCAGAAGAAACAAATGGGTATGGACCACAGCATCACAGTACCATTTCCACCATAATCACAAAAGAAATGATCAAGGATTACTTGGGCCGTGAGACCGCGCAAACCCACAACCCAGATGACCAAATCATCAGCCAGACCAATCCACTTGAAAGACAGAATACAGCACAATGAACAAGAAAGAAGCATGAGAAACCAGGAAACGACACTTAGACCGTGGGACCGATATCACCCCATGATCTAGCCGACCCACCAAGAAGTACTTGGAACCAGAACAGACCCACAATACAAAAAACAGTACCGGTCCAAAAGATAAAAAACCATGGCTGAAGCGGTGAAGTTGATGAAATGTCTTAGTAAGATATTTTTTTTGTAGTAACCTGAATAATAATGCACCCTGACCCATAACACCATAAAAAACTTATGTTAATTTTAACTTTTAATTTTTTTTCTATACTCGATATTTGGATTGTTGGATTTTATAATTAGGATATTATTGTAAAAAAAGGGATATTTTTAGGATCAAGATATTATTATTTTGAAATTTTAGGTAATGAATAAGTTTTTCTTTGAAGCTTATTAATGCACAACCCATTGTGAATGGATTCTAGCAATTCTAACGACAATATGATGATTTTTCCACCATAAACTCTCTCGGCAAAATTTTAGAGCATTCATTAATTTAGAACCGATCTAGCCAGACAAATTCCTGCCGGATCATTTTGGCCCAAGCTTTGTTGTAAATTTGGGACCATTTTATTATATCTGAACAACATTTTTCAATATGTTTTGTTTATGTTAAATTCAGCTTGTGGTAATTTCAACACCTCACAGGTGAGACTGTCATCGTGAAATGCATTAATCACTTTTTTATTATTAATTCCAAATTAAATTGCCAGTAAAGAATCCCTTAATAGACTAATTTTTAAAAAAAAAAATGGAACCACTACACATTGAAGAAATACTGCAAGGTCCAAGCGATAGTAGTACGGTGGAAAGTGAATTCCTGTCGACCATCAACATTACGGAAAGCACACATTTAAATACTTCAGGACGTGATGCGAAATTTTCAGCAAGGAGACCTAATAAGGCCCATCCTGGTGGGCTAAAATCTCGTACCCTACCAAGGCTCATGCCTGTAAGCTCTCAAATCCCTCTTCCATTGAAACAGGAGCCAATAAAGATTAATTCATTTATTAAAAATGTACGGTCATCACCTAGCAGACCCGTTACATTAAATGCCAGTCTGGAAAACAAACACACTTTGGAAATACAGTTTATCAACAAAAATAAAAGATTTTTGTTATTGAAGCGTGAATTGGAAGAAAAGCAAAAGCCTGTTATGGAGTTGCATAAAACTTTGATGCAACTTAAGAAAAGATTGGAAGAATTAGGAAAGTTTGTTACATTAGAAGACTTGAAATTAGCTTCTGTGAAAGAATATCAAAAAAACCTAATGAGAAGTGAAGGTGATGGCGAAAATTTACCAAACATAAGAAGCTCTCTAGACCAAATAGTCAATACTATGATGGATGTTTGCACGAATTTGGTCAACAGAAGAGCTCTAATCGTGGAAGTCTTAGAGAAAGTAGCTAATTCCGAATTAGACCACTCTGATGTATTATCAAAAATAGAAACTTTAAAAAACGAAGGCCAAACTCTGGAAAATTCCTTAAAAACTATCATAAAAGAGCAACAAGCCAAAATAAATGAATTAATTGCTGAATGGGAATCTCTGTTAATTTCCAAACAATCCAATGTTGAATCCGAACAATTGAAACTGCCACCTCAAGAGCTAGTGCAAGAATCTAAAGATAAAATTAGTCATTTACAAAAAAAAATTGAAGAAAACAAAGGGATTTATGACAAATCAATAGCTGAATTAAATGGTAATGTTCGTACTTTAAGGGAACAAATTCAAAAACTCGAACGCGACTTGGAATGTGAACGTAAAGCCACCAAGGATAATAAGATCAGAAATTTAACAAATACTAGAAACAGTAAAGCTATGAAAGATAAAATAACTGAGTTGGAAAATAATAAAATTTCTTCAAATGCAGCCAAAGTGGATTTGGAACGAAAAATTAGAATTTTACAAGATCAATTAATGAATAAAGAGGCACAATGGAACAAAGAAAAAGAAGAAATGAATAAGGTCATAATAAAGCATGAAGGCGTTGTAAGGAAAATAACAAGTGAAAGGGCTGAATATGAGACAACTTTAGAATCTATTGAGAACCAAAAAATGACCACAGAAGAAGAATTACAAAATAAAATTGAATATTTAGAAAATCAGATGGAGAGCTTATGTAATGAAAATGGAGAAAATGCAAAGAAGCGAGAAGAAGCTGAAACAAAATGTGCCGAATTTGAAAGTTTCATCTCGGACATGAGACTCGAAAATAAAAAAACTATGAATAAAGTTTGCGATAGTATGAAAATGGGCAAAAATATTGCGAACGAACAAGCTGAGCTTCTAAGAGAAAACATGGCCAAAGATTTAGAAATAAGGGAGCTAAGAGACAATGTAACATATTTGGAAAGAGAAAGATTAATTTTATTTGACGAAAAGAGAAAGCTGGAAGAAGAAGCTAAATATATCCCGACTGTTACAGAAAAAGAAATTTCGAAACAACAAAAATATATTTATAAATATAAATCACTATTAGAAGAAAGTGAAAAAAAATTGCTGCAAAAATGCAATGAGGTCTCATATTTACAAACTGAAATACAACATCTTAAAGTCAGACAAGAATCGTTGGAAGAACAAAATTTGAAATGTCCTGCTGACAAGTTGCAGGAAATAGTTGATAAAGGCCGCTATAAGCTCAACACATTGATGAAGAAGACTATCGAAAATGAACAAAAACTAGAACAATATATTAAATTACTCGAACAAAAGGATCTCCAAATAGGCAACATGGAAACTTTACTGCATCAGCGTGAGGAGACAACAGTAATTTTGAAAGCAGTCCAAGAAGATGTGGTATCTGAAAAGCAAAGCTTGACAAAATATGCTTCTGAACTGAGAAAAAATTTATCACAAGTTGTTAAAGAAAGTAAGATGAAAGATAGAGCGATCAAAGAATTACAAGATAAAATCGAGTTAAGAGAGAGACAAATGGCTAAAATGGAAAAAGAAATCGAAGAACTTGCGACTAATGTCTTAATAGGCAACGATAAAAGATTCAAATTGCAAGAAATGGTTGAAGCCATGGAACAGGAATTACGAAGGACTAAATTACATGTTAATCAGTTGGCTGATATCAATTTTAGGAAAGGGCGTAAAAAATATAAACCATTTTGAAAGCCTTCTGCATATTATCGTGTACAGTTTTTGTGAGTTTTTGAATAAAATTTATTATTATGGAGAAAAGGCTCTTTTTTTAAATTTTAGGAGTTTATTAATATATCGACGGCCCTATCAGGTAAGGATATAAGTTTCATATTAGGTCTGTTTCTGCAGAAATCACAAACCAGTCAGAGTGAGTTTCGTTGGTTGAAACTAGTTTTCTGACTGTTTTCAACCACTGAAATTTGCTCTGACTGGTTTGTGATTTCTGCAGAAACAGACCTTATGATGTCAAATTGTTGGTTCCAAGAAACACATCTTTAGTTAAGTTGAAAAATCAGCTTCCATTCTCGATTTTCACTTCACTCTCCAAGGCAATTCAGTTTAAATGAGTAACTGACATTTTCTGAGCATTAGAAAGTTTTGCACCTTATTGTGGGACTTTAGCAGGGACACCATTGAAATAGAACTCGTGTTGTGTGCCTGCATTTCGTTACCTCTGGTACCACGATTGCTCCAATTTTTCAAGATTTTTTCGCGTTTGTTTATTTATTTATGTTCAAGCGCACTCTACAGAACAAAAAATGCTTCACTGAAGAAATTAATAAAGATAGAGCCGATGTAATCAGGTACTGATTTCTCTTTTTATTACAGTCAGAGCGGTTTTGAGAAGATCTATAATATGGGAAAAGTCCTGATTGTAATTAGTGACTAGACGCGTCATGATGCAATTCAGACCATAGTATTTATTAGTTCCATGCACAGGTTAAAAAAAGAGCTGCCTCTGTCGGGATCTTCTTTCAGGAACCAGAAATCCAATTTCTGTCAGAAGTTCAGACGAAGTTCTGGTTAGAAAGTCTCAGTTTGTACAGCAGGTATTTGGCAAATTTATTTTGCACTCCTTCTATCCTTCTTATACGTAATCTGGAGTCCAAATTGGGCTGCAGAATTCAAGTGTGGATCGAATAATATTGTTGTATAAATAGATAATGCGGACTTCATATCATGTCTCTGGTGTTTCGTTCGATGAAATCTAGAAGTCTAAAACTTTTTATGACTGGTTTTATAGCCCAAATATGATACCATACTTAAGAAAGAACGAATCTGTTTAGGTGTACGTGGTGTAGCCATATCGACTATAGCACTAACCTTTTCAGGATCAACTGATAACCGGGATCTAATGACTACATAACCTACGTATTTCAATTCACTTCTACAAAATTTACATTTGTCCTTATTTAAAGTCAGATTAACTGCCTTTCAACGCCCGAATACATCTTTCAGAATGCAAATATGGGTTTCAAAATCGGGTGCTGTTACGACAATATCATCAAACACATAAGGTTCTAGCTGAGGACCAAATATTCTATCTATATTAAAGCTTGAAAACTTGCAGGTGCATTTGTAAGTTCAAATGGTAATCTTCTAAACATAAAATGACCTCTACCAGGTATTCTAAGAGCTGTATATTTTTTTTGAGTCTTTTGACACCTTTACCTGATAATACGCCATTCTTATATCATGAGTTGACAAATGACGAGAGTTCCCTAATCTGTCCAAAATAGAATTTATTAGAGGCAATGGATAAGAATTTTTCTCCGTTACATTATTTAACTTTTTGAAATCTATGCAAAACCTATACGAACCGTCGCTCTTTGGAACTATCAAGACTGGGGATGACCAAGGACTATCACTTTTCTCTATTATGTCCATATCTACAACTTTAGTTACCTCATCCGCATCGTCTATTTTCTTTTGCATTAAAGTACTAACTGGATAATAGCGAGATCTAATCGGAGGAATATTATCTATAATTTCATGTTCTACCAAATCAATGCAGCCTAAATCAATCTTTTACCGATTCCAGGTAGTAGTAGGTAGTTTATAACTGAATTTTACCTATTTCACTGTTCGACAGTTAAATCATCCACTGACTGAATATAATTTAGGTTTCGATGTTGTTCACTATAGTTGAATCCTCTGAGGTTGAATCGAATCCAAAGGACAGTAACGTAAACAACTGGTCATTTTCCTTAAAACCTATCAAATGTCCTCCGTGGATGCGCACTGGTATAGAAAGGCTGGATTACTACCTGGTATTTATTTACAATTTAGGTTATTAAATTTCATTACTGCCGCTTAGATTTGATTCAACTATAGTTCCAAAATACCTTCCTCCCTTTCTTCACTCATTTTAATCCAGAAAGCTGTACCCAAAACAAGCATGTGCCTTAACTGGGGCATGACAAAACAATCAAACTTTATTTTGGCATTTTCCGGACGAGTAGTACAAAAGCGAGCTAGATGATTTGGACTTTCACCTTTGAAACAAGTATTGGTTGCCCTGTCTCTTGAGTTTCCAGAATTCTGACTGTTTGGAGCGCTGACTTTCGGATAGCTAGCCCTACCACTATTTTAACTGAAAGCCTTATCTCCAGAAAAATCCCTACAATACCTATCCCTACTACAATTTCTATTGTACATCCTATCATATTTCTCATTCCTGTCCCCTGAAAAATCTCTTCTATCTCTAGAATAACTCCTGTTTCTGTGACCCAAAAAAGCCCTATTTCTTGAAACGCTTCTATGTCTATCCTCTGATGTATCTATATCTCTCCCGCGTTTTTTCTCTAGCATTACTTCCTCTCTTTCCTTCCACACTACTTATTCTATTCCTACTTCTATACGTACTATCCCTTCTACCTCTGTGAGACCCTCTACTATCACGCCCTCTTCCTACCGAACTACCTCTGCTTTCCGCACTGCTGTCCCTACTTTTCCTCCTACGCCGGATATTTATAGATTTGGGTTTAGCGTCCTTTTCCAAATTCCCACTACCAGATTCTGAATCGCTAGGATAAAAGATAGGATAAGGAAACTAAATATTATCTAACTTCTTTTCAGAAGGTTGATCCGCCCTAATTCTTGTACCTTAAATTGGTGGTCGGATCCAAAGGTGGCAAGAGTTCTCGAACAAAAACTGCTGTTTTGGGCACTAGTTCTGCAGCAGAAATGGATAATATATACTCTCCAGTTTCCTAGTGCCGATGATGAAAGATGCTTTGGCAAGTATTACTGCTACTAGTACGGGATACGAGGCCTATTTCATCAAATCATTTTACACCGTCTTGCATTGTTATCATCAGTTAGATAACATGATGCTGAAACGCACTTGCGCAGTGAAATATAGGGGAGTGAGGGATTTCGCTGATAGAAATGTTTGAGAAAATGTCGTCATAAACGAGGAAAATATATAATTTTACACCGTCTTGCATTTATTTATTAAGTTAATTTGTACACAAACAAAATTGGAATACCATAGGCAAGACATTTTTATGGGGGTTTTCGGGTTGCAATATTAGATAGAAATTTTCAGAGGGGAGAAATATTATTTCACACCACTCAATTGTTGATTCAGATTAAAGCTTGAATGTAGAATATAGCCACTGGATACTGATGCAAGATGTCCAGTGAGGGGATAACGGGCTGCAAGACGGAGGTCAATGTGTTGTCTTATGAGGAAGAGAGAAATCATTTTACACCGTCTTGCACTGGTACTTATGGGAAAAATAGAACACATTGATAACATTTTTAAAAATACAAGACGTTCTAAATGGGAAGAAAGGACTGCAAGACAATGATGAGGTTGACGGGGGTCAATCCATCAGGTACAAAGGTGAATACTATTCCAAATTACAAATTGCGCACATTAATTTCGAATATTTTTGCTCTTTACCACGTAGAATAATTCTATTTTGCAAAATTCTGTTAATAATATTTATATACAGAGTGGATGACGTATTAGACATTTATGGATAACTAAAAAGCAGATCATTTTGAAAATTTGGCAACCGGGATAAACGACCATGTTCTACACTTTAAAGATATTTTTGTTTATGCGGTGTTGCCGCTTCGACTCTAAACCAGTGGCGACATCGCTTTTTCACCCTGTATGCGATCGCATATTTGGATTCTACGTAAAATTTTGAGCAGATTTCATGTGATATACCCTATACCTAATTTCAACTGTTTTGGAAATATTGACAGTCGAAAATTGACTTTTTGCAACTTTGAGAGGCTGTAAAACCCTTAGTAAAACCTAAACGGTTAATTTTTGAGGAAAACCGATTTTACATTCCTATCTTAGATTTTCATAAACTAACATTTGACACCAACTTTGAATTTAACCGGAGATTAAATTTAATTGGAATTTTTAATCATGGATTAAATTCAAAGTTGGTGTCAAATGATAGTTTATAAAAATCTAAGACAGGAAAGTAAAATCGGTTTTTCTCTAAAATTAACCGTTCAGGTTTTACAGCCTGTCAAAGTTGCAAAAAGTCAATTTTCAACTGTCAATATTTCCAAAACAGTTGAACTTATGTATAGGGTGTATATCACATGAAATCTGCTCATAATTTTACGTAGAATCCAAATATGCAATAGCATACAGGGTGTTTCATTTAAAATAGCGATGTTGCCACTGGTTTAGAGTAGAAGCGGCAACACCGCATGAACAAAAATATTTTTAAAGTGTAGATCATGGTCGTTTATCCTGGTAGCCAAATTTTCGAAATGATCTGCTTTTTAGTTCTCCATAAACGTCTAATACGCCATCCACCGTGGGACACCCTGTATAAATGTCTCTACGGACATCAAATAAAAAAAGACTGAAAACTGTTCTTTTTCTGACAGTTTTTAATCATTTAAGTTCTTTCTGAGGTGGATATCTATTGACACATAACAGATTGTACCACTCATCTAAAAAATAAATGGATAAACAATTCATACGGCTTGATTGGCAAAATTTGTGCGAAAATTTGGGGTCAATATTCTACGAACAGTTGTGCAACGGAACAGCCTAACGCCTGCGCAGTGTCTTATCTTTCGAACAACTGTTCTAAATTTTGAAATTCCTTCATTTTCATTGACCAGATTTTGTGCACGCACAATACATATTTATATCTACTGCGCACGCTCACAGCTGTCCCAGTCAGTTGTTTTTGTTCAGATTT